CCGTGTTTCCCTAACCCTCACTCCTACACGCCATCTCAAAATTTAAAAAAAAAAAAACAAAAAAAAAAAAAACAAAAAGAACTAATCGGTTGAAAATGCCCTAAGTGTGTATTTAAAAGTTTTTAATTCAATAATTTAATTTTTATTTTCAAAATAGTAAAATAGTCAATTTATTCTTAATTCTACTTCCATTTCTGCCCCTCTTCATTATAATCTCTGTACCCCTGTGCTATAAAATCAGCCCCCCGTCTTGCATTTTCATCATCTCTGGTTAAAGATATATCTGGGGGGAAAAGATCGAATTGGAGGAGTTTTTACCGTGGCGGAAAATGTGACTCAAGAGTTTCTGGGAATCATCATCGATGACAAAAATTTCAGCAAGAGCAATTGAAACGGATTTAGGAACTACAAATTCACAGTTCAGATCGATATTCCTTTCACTAAAATTCTGGGTTCAACTGTAGAAACTCCTTCGCCGCCGTCGCCGCCAGCAACTTTTTCTTTCCCTTCAGCTTCAAACATTCCGCCCTCACCTTCTTGATTTTTGAAAAATAGAGATAAAAAAAATATTCTCTTTATTTCACTTATCGCATCTAGTAGATACGTGCATCGCACGTGCGTAAATGCCCTACATAACTTTTCTTTATTTCTTTTCATATTTTTTAAAATTTTTTTTTTTCCGTGTTTCCCTACCCCTCACTCCTACACGCCATCTCAAAATAAAAAAAAAATTAAAAAAAAAAAGAAAAAGAACCAATCGATTGAAAATGCCCTAAGTGTGTATTTAAAAGTTTTTAATTCAATAATTTAATTTTTATTTTCAAAATAGTAAAATAGTCAATTTATTTTTAATTCTACTTCCATTTCTGCCCCTCTTCATTATAATCTCTGTACCCCTGTGCTATAAAATCAGCCCCCCATCTTGCATTTTCATCCTCTCTGGTTAAAGATATATCTGGGGGGGAAAAGATCAAATTGGAGGAGTTTTTACCGTGACAAAAAATGTGACTCAAGAGTTTCTGGGAATCATCATCGATGACAAAAATTTCAGCAAGAGCAATTGAAACGGATTTAGGAACTACAAATTCACAGTTCAGATCGATATTCCTTTCACTAAAATTCTGGGTTCAACTGTAGAAACTCCTTCACCGCCGTCGCCGCCAGCAACTTTTTCTTTCCCTTCAGCTTCAAACATTCCGCCCTCACATTCTTAATTTTTGAAAAATAGATAAAAAAAAAATATTCTATTTATTTCACTTATCGCATCTAGTAGATACGTGCATCGCACGTGCGTAAATGGCCTACATAACTTTTCTTTATTTCTTTTCATATTTTTTTAAATTTTTTTTCCGTGTTTCCCTACCCCTCACTCTTACACGCCATCTCAAAATTTAAAAAAAAAAAAAAAAAAAAAAAAAGAACCAATCGATTGAAAATGCCCTAAGTGTGTATTTAAAAGTTTTTAATTCAATAATTTTATTTTTATTTTCAAAATAGTAAAATAGTCAATTTATTTTTAATTCTACTTTTATTTCTGCCCCTCTTCATTATAATCTCTGTACCCCGGCCCTCCGTCTTGCATTTTCATCATCTCTGGTTAAAGATATATCTGGGGGGGGGGGGGGGGGGGGGGGGGAGATCGAATTGGAGGAGTTTTTACCGTGGCGGAAAATGTGACTCAAGAGTTTCTGGGAATCATCATCGATGACAAAAATTTCAGCAAGAGCAATTGAAACGGATTTAGGAACTACAAATTCACAGTTCAGATTGATATTCCTTTCACTAAAATTCTGGATTCAACTGTAGAAACTCCTTCACCGCCGTCGCCGCCAGCAACTTTTTCTTTCCCTTCAGCTTCAAACATTCCGCCCTCACCTTCTTGATTTTTGAAAAATAGATAAAAAAAAAATATTCTCTTCATTTCACTTATCGCATCTAGTAGATACGTGCATCGCACGTGCGTAAATGGCCTACATAACTTTTCTTTATTTCTTTTCATATTTTTTTTTAAAAAAAAAATTCCGTGTTTCCCTACCCCTCACTCCTACACGCCATCTCAAAATAAATAAATAAATAAAAAAACAATCGATTGAAAATGCCCTAAGTCTGAATTTAAAAGTTTTTAATTCAATAATTAATTTTTATTTTCAAAATAGTAAAATAGTCAATTTATTCTTAATTCTACTTCCATTTCTGCCCCTCTTCATTATAATCTCTGTACCCCTGTGCTATAAAATCAGCCCCCCGTCTTGCATTTTCATCATCTCTGGTTAAAGATATATCTGGGGGGAAAAGATCGAATTGGAGGAGTTTCTACCGTGGCGGAAAATGTGACTCAAGAGTTTCTGGGAATAATCATCGATGACAAAAATTTCAGCAAGAGCAATTGAAACGGATTTAGGAACTTCAAATTCACAGTTCAGATCGATATTCCTTTCACTAAAATTCTGGGTTCAACTGTAGAAACTCTTTCACTGCCGTCGCCGCCGCCAGCAACTTTTTATTTCCCTTCAGCTTCAAATATTCCGCCCTCACCTTCTTGATTTTTGAAAAATAGATAAAAAAATATTCTCTTTATTTCACTTATCGCATCTAGTAGATACGTGCATCGCACGTGCGTAAATGGCCTACATAACTTTTCTTTATTTCTTTTCATATTTTTTTAATTTTTTTTTCGTTTTTCCCTACCCCTCACTCCTACACGCCATGTCAAAATAAAAAAAAAAAAAAAAAAAAAAAAAAAAGAACCAATCGATTGAAAATGCCCTTAAGTGTGTATTTAAAAGTTTTTAATTCAATAATTTAATTTTTATTTTCAAAATAGTAAAATAGTCAATTTATTCTTAATTCTACTTCCATTTCTGCCCCTCTTCATTATAATCTCTGTACCCCTGTGCTATAAAATCAGCCCCCCGTCTTGCATTTTCATCATCCCTGGTTAAAGATATATCTGGGGGAAAAAGATCGAATTGGAGTAGAAAAATCTGAAAGAGAAAACAAAATGGCCCAGAATTTTAGTGAAAGGAATATCGATCTGAACTGTGAATTTGTAGTTCATAAATCCGTTTCAATTGCTCTTGCTGAAATTTTTGTCATCGATGATGATTCCCAGAAACTCTTAAGTCACATTTTCCGCCACGATAGAAACTCCTCCAATGCCGCTGCGCGACAACTTTTCCTTTCCCTTTAACTTCAAACATTCCGCCCTCACCTTCTCGATTTCTGCAAAATAGATAAACAGACATTAAATATATACGTACAGAATAAAACGATTTTCATCAATTCTGATCGTTTGACCGTTTTATCCCGCCGTCTCTATCAGAATTACCCTTCAATGGTAGAAACTCCTCCACCGCCATCGTCGTCAGCAACTTTTCCTTTCCCTTCAGCTTCAAACATTTCGCACTCACCTTCTTGATTTTTGCAAAATAGATTTAAAAAAATATTCTCTTTATTTCACTTATCGCATCTAGTAGATAAGTGCAGCGCACGTGCGTAAATGGCCTACATAACTCTTCTTTATTTCTTTTCGTATTTTTTTTTAATTGTTTCCCTGTTTCCCTACCCCCCCCCCCCCCCCCCCCCCCCCCCCCCCCCCCCACTCCTACACGTCATCTCAAAATTTGAGAAAAAAAAATAAAACCAATGGATTGAAAATTCTCTAAGTGTGTATTTAAAAGTTTTTAATTCAATAATTTAATTTTTATTTTCAAAATAGTAAAATAGTCCATTTGTTCTTAATTCTATCTTTTCATATATTCATATAAGTTTTAGCTGAAATTACTATTTTGCTTATGTCCAATATTTTAGTGAATTGAAACTACTATATTGCCCCTATTTAAAATTTTGGTCAATAACTCCGAATCCACCCTCCACCTCCATTGTCCTAAAGTCCTAAATCTTATTAAATGACGTTTTTTTTTTCCACTTTTTTTCAACAAGGTAACTATTGGAGCATTTCTATATTGGTCAATAATAATAACAACAACAACAACAACAACAATGATAATAATAATAATAATAATATTATTATTATTATTATTGTAATATAAAATTTAGTCTTAAGACATTTAAAATCTTTCTATATTTAGTCTTGCGGTCTAATTTGCAATTAGCGGTGATCAAAATTTTTAGTTGAAAAATGTCATAGAAAATGAAAATTTTATTTTTTAAGATAAAATATTAATTAATATAAATATTTTTTTTTAAAATACAAGAACGGACCCGCTTCGTCTATATGGCCGGAGACGAAGAGCTTTGTCTCCGTGGCCATGGAGACGAAGCTTGCCAGAGATGACAATTCTTTTTATTTATTATTTATTATTTATTTTATTTAAAATTATTCTTTTTAAAAATTTTTTAAAAATTGGTGGCCACCACATCAGCGTACTTTTAGGTAAACAAGTCATTTTCGGTTGAATTGCATGAGTTTGTGTTGTTTAAGGACCCAATTGTAATTTTTTTGAGTTCAATGATCTAGTTGCAGTTTGATATTTAGTTGAATTGCGTATTTGACCTTTATTCCTTATTAATATTATTACACAAGAGTATTTTAATTTTTATATCACTTCTTTCCTTTTCATTCCCAATAATTCTATTTCTCCATACCAAACAATGTAATTTGAAATCATATTGAATTTATTCCACCTTATTCTTTTTTTTTTTTTACCGAATTACAATTTATTTTCCCATTAATTCTTTCCTTCCAATCAAACGCCCTATAATAGTTGAGAACCAAATGTAAAAATGACTCAATAATCGTGGACCAAAAGTGAAAAAATAAAAATAAAAATCATTATCACACATATACTCCTCAAATAAAATAAAATAAAATAAAATAAAAGTTACGCGACGAACCGAGTGTGAAAGCTATCCGAATCTTTCCCCCACCAGGATCCACTTCCATTTCTAAATTTCCATTTCTGCCCACCACTGTGCTATAAAATCAGCCCGGGTCTTTCATTTTCATAACTCTGGTTAAAGGAATTGGAGTAGAAAATTCTGAAAGAGAAAACAAAATGGCCCAGAATTTTGGTGAAAGGAACATCGATCTGAACTGTGAATTTGTAGTTCCTAAATCCGTTTCAATTGCTCTTGCTGAAATTTCTGCTATTGATGATGATTCCCAGAAACTCTTGAAGCTTTACTCCCTTCTTCAAGCCTTAGAAGAAGAGGCAAAGAAAATCTACCTCAACAGACGTGAACTCCCTTATACTCTGAGTCTTCTCACTGATGGTCCCTCCCTTTTTCTTTTACCTTTTTTTTTTTCTGTTTTAAATTGATAAAGATCCATTTATTCTGTGCGTATATATTTATTTTTTGTTTATCTGTTTTCCAGAAATCGAGAAGGTGAGGGGGGAATGTTTGAAGGTTAAGGGAAAGGAAAAGTTACCGGCAGTGGTAGAGGAGCTTTTACCAATGAAGGATAATTTTGATAAAGAGATCGGGACAAAACGGTCAAACGATCAGGGTGACACGAAAAACTGGATGATCTCTGCCCTGTGGAACCACCCTGTTAGATTAATTTTTCATTATTTTATTAATGAATTCCTTTTGCCCCCATTTACTAAATTTTTGTTTTGTTGTTTTTTTTTTTGATCGTGACAGGGTGGTGTCAATGGGGAGGAGGAGGATGCGTTGAAAAGAGATGCTTTACCAGTTCCCTGTTTGTCGCTGTCTCCGCCGTCGGTGCCGCCGTCAGTGGTGGCTTATAAAAGCTCATCATCTCGTTCCCATTCTTCAAAGACGATGAATAAGCAAGAACAGAGGAAACAGAGGCGGTGTTGGTCGCCGGAGCTTCATCAGCGATTCGTCAACGCCCTTGATAAGCTCGGTGGAGCACAAGGTTTATAATAATTTCATTTGCTTTATCGTTAATGAATCTGACTTTTTGGTTCTTTTAAATTCCAGTAATCTGAATGTCTTTTATTGCATTACCTCAGTCAACGGATTTATGGATACCTGACCATGAATATGAATATGAAGGATATTGATAACACCATATAATATATGTAATATATATAAATTATAAATGTATATCATTATTTATTTGCTCAACTTTTTAGTTGGGAAGAAATAAATTCTTTAAAAAAGTAACATAAGGTGAGATGTTACTGTATTTATAAAATTATTTGACACAAAAATACATGTTATAACATCTAAAATAATAAATTTAGAATATATATTTTCTTCTATGCCAATGACCTGGTTTAGTGGTATGAAGTGACTCTCTAAATAGAAGGTCATGGGTTCGTGTCCTAGCAAGAACAGGCCTGGTATGGATTCTTTGTGCACTCTTTGTGCTTTGTATGATAATTCTGAGAGTATAAAATAAGTTTTGTTTAAAATCTGGGCACTTAGTATATGATTCTGTGACTGGGAATCTTGAAAAGCTGAAAGGATTTATATTTGATTATTGATAAGCTAGGAGGAAAAAAAGTGTCGTCTGTAATTGATTTAAATAACGGCCTCGGATAACAGTTAAAACCGTTAAATAACGACAAAGAACAACTGTTCGGTGATCATATCGTTCTCGTGTTGATAATTTTGTCGGTATGTACGTATATATGCATGTTAACGTAAATTTAAGATCGAATATCGCATTTTGCAGCAGCGACACCGAAGCAGATTAGAGAAATTATGAATGTTGATGGTCTCACCAATGATGAAGTCAAAAGCCATTTGCAGGTAATAATATAATGCATTTGTTTTGTTGGGAAGGAAGAAATTAGGCAGCAGACAAGTTATATATATATTTGATTGACTAGGAGGCCAGCAACACTACTCGAGTGTGTATTAGAAAATTTGTCTTGTAACCCTAGTCAAATCAGTCTAGACTAGTCATAACTGATCAACTCAAACCAAGAAAGTCCCTGTTAAAAGTCATATTTGGGTTCTGTTTGATAGAGTTTATAACCAACAGATCCTATCCACTTGCATGTTGCATGGCATATTTCTTACATGTTATATATGTTTGGTTGCAGAAATATAGGCTTCATGTGAGAAGGCTGACTGAGTCTCCGCCTTCGTCAACCTCAACATGGGCGCAGCCGCCATATGGTGTGATAAATGGTTTGGTGATGAAACCTGCAGGAACTGGTGCGCACTCTAACTCGCCGGAGGGCCCACTTCACCTGGGGCTTCCGGCGACCACCAGGGAGGTTTCAGTGACGGTGACAGGTCTCAACGCCGTGGAGGAATCTGAGGAAGAGGAATCCGTGAGAGGGTTTTGAATTTTGATGGATAGATGGCCATGGGGATATGATGGACAGTAACTGCTGACAAGCTAGAAGTGAATTTTGCAGAGATAATATAATATAAGCTAAGGTGGCCGCTAAAATGAGGTGCTGCCGATGAGTCCTTTTGATCTATAGAGAAGGGGGGAATATAATCAATCTTGGTGGGTTTTCAACTTTTGACAATTTCAATTTTCATACAGTTTGACATTATTGACTCCTTTGTTTTAATCATGTTTAATTTTCAGTCCTCTGATCTTCATTTAGGGCTTAGTGGGAAGAAGAGGGATCGGATTATTTTAATTATCTAAATAATAACTTTGTGAAGTTTCTTTAATTTTAGCATTCCCTATATATATATATATATATATATATATATATATATATATATATATATATATGCTTTAGTTTTGGGTCTTTTCAATAATATTATATATATTTGCATGGTAGGCAATTGATATGCTTTGTTGCCTTATCGGAGAGAGCCCGTGGGGCTGTCAATATATAGCAGAATCTCCAATTGAATGGATAGTAAGGTTTAGTGACTGATAAGTCTGCTCTTTTAAACATGTGCATATACAAGTAAATAAGTGTGAAGCTACAAAACATGTGCCTCATTTTTTTTTCTTTCTGTTTTTATCCTTTAAACCAAATGGACAGCTAGAGAATTTATCCAAAAAGTTACATTTAGGATGTAGTTAGAACCTGTCAGGTACAATTATACCCATTTTCTCCCCCTACAGCATGGATTGCTCTCACCACTTGGGGGTACAAGGGGCTTCCCCAGTAAGATTTCTTTGAGGACATATCTGAACCAATATCTAATAACATACTCCCTTTTCCCCTCATTTTGATTGCACTACTTTTTTTTTTTTTTTTTTAAGTCTATTTCAAAATAATAGACACTTTTCTAATTTATATTGATTGCTACATGTTGAGAGTGAAGCTTTTCAGGTTATTCAAGATCTTGGATTTCTTTTTAATCTATTGTTAGTCTTGTTATTGATGATATTAAAAAATTTATGAGATTGATCTATCATATTTATTTCTCATTTGTTAAACAATTTGCAACTCACACTTTAGTTGGGCGAGCTGTTTTTATGTTTGACAGTATCGATTGGGTTATCAACCCTCCAGCCAAAATTGTTAGTCTTGTTATTGGCCTTGTTTAGCAAACAGCGGTTAGCGTTAGCGGATTGTGTTAGCGGTTAACAAATAGCGGATTGTGTTAGCAGGTTTGACCAGCAGATTATATCAACGGTCTATAAAAAGATTTTTGATAAAATTAGCGGTTAACTTGTCAAATGACCAAAATGATATAATAATAATAATAATAATAATTTTTTTTAAAAAAAAAAAAAAAAGGGAAGAAGAGAAATGTGATGTGGGATCAAATCCGATCCCACATCGAAAACAAATAAAAAAAGGACGTTGAGCTCCCTCATTAAAAGTGGAGCTCAACGCCCCATTTTGCATCCTAGCCCATCCGATACCCACATCGGATGGGCAGGGAATTAGAAGCTTGAGGCTTCTCATTTTAATAACAACATTAATTTTTTTAAAATATAAGGGTGTTTTGGCCCAAAACGCCAAAGACGCTGCTATATGCAGCCAATCGTTATATCCTACACCACGGCGCACATAGCACTGTGCGCCGCACGCTTCCCAAAACGACGTCGTTTTGTGGTAGTGTTGGGAGGCGCGGTAGGAAGTTGTTGAGATTATGTGTATTTGTTCACAACGTTATGTGTATTCGTTCACAACGTTATGTGTATTGGTTCATACAGTTATGTGTATTTTTAATACAATTATGTACATTCTTTTTATACAATTATGTACATCCGAATCAGAAAATTTGTGTGTATTATGTTAAAAGTTTATGTTTATTATGTATTATGTTAGATTATGTGTATTATCTTTTAAAAAGAGTATGTATATTTTGTTATATAATTATGTACATTCATGTATAACATTATGTGTATTCTAGTATAACATTATGTACATTCTTGAACAGCGGGTTTTTTTTTTAAAGAAAAAACTACTGCCATTCACTGGGGCGGGAAATTTCAAAAAAAAAAAATTAAAACAACGTCGTTTTGCATCTGGGCGCATAGTGCAACGCGCGCCGTGGTGTAGGATATAAATTGCCATATGCAGCGTCAACGGTTTGGAGCCCATTGATGATATTAAAAACGCGGAATACGCTGCTCCAAACTTCTGTTAACCAAACAATGACTTTGGCGTTTTGACTATGTCCGCGAATCCGTCAATAACCAAACATGCCCATTGATGATATTAAAAAAAAACTACGAGATTGATCTATTATATTTGTTTCTCATTTGTTAAACAATTTGCAACTCATACTTTATTTAGGGTAGTTGTTTCTATGTTTGACAGTATCGATTGGGTTATCACCCATCTAGCCTAAATTGTTAGATAAAAAACTACGAGATTGATCTATCATATTTGTTTCTCATTTGTTAAACAATTTCCAACTCATACTTTAGATAGTTGTTTCTATGTTTGACAGTATCGATTGGGTTATCACCCCCTCCAGCCTAAATTGTTAGTCTACTGTACGTTAATCTTGTTATTGATGATATTAAAAGAAAAAAATTACGAGATTGATCTACGGAGTATCATATTTGTTTCTCATTTGTTAAAAAATTTGCAACTCATACTTTAGTTACGGGAGTTGTTTCTATGTTTGTTAGTATCAATTGGGTTATCAACCCTCCATCCAAAATTGTTAGTCTACTGTTAGTCTTGTTATTGATGATATATATTAAAAAAACTGTGAGATTTATCTATCATATTTGTTTCTCATTTTGTAAACAATTTGGAACTCATACTTTAGTTAGGGGAGCTGTTTCTATGTTTGAGAGTATCGATTGGGTTATCACACCTCGAGTCTAAATGGTAGATATTTTGTGTTTAATTGTGAAGATAATTATGTAATCATGGTAACAATAGTAACAATGGCAAGAAGGATATGATGAATTCACAAGAAAAACATGTCTTGATTGCACCCTAACTTTTCATCTACATAAGCATTCTCTAGATGATATGCCATAGCCTACCCTACTTTACTTCTAACCACATATATAGTATTCACTTATTAAACTGGAAGTTTCAATCAAAATTTATCACTAAAAAGTAATAACAAGAACCAGAACAAGACATACCCCTTAGAGAAGGCCTTTAGTTGTCGCCATCAAATAGTTCAGTTTGGGGAGAAGTCTGATCCAGAATGTGAGGTAGTTGGGGCAAATTGTCAAAGGTAGTGGGACTATCGACAAGAGTGTAGTTTGAAGATCGAACTTAAAAACTATTAATGTCTAGGATCCAATTAAGCACAAAAAGTCATTTAAGGTTAAATTGGATATAACTTAAGCTTGGGGTGCAATAGAATCAGGTTCAGGTTCCCTTCCAAAGTAGCTGAGACATGTTTGGTGACTTGTCAAGGGATCTTTCCTTTTTTACTTAAGCAGAACAAAAGTAGAGCATTCACTCGTGTTTCGTTCTGGATTTGCAAATCTTGAATTTGCTTTCGAAGATTAGATATGCAATAACATGTTGCCTAAGTGTCAATTAACTCCTAGATGTTTCAGCATCATCATAGGTTGTACGTTTTCCCCTTCCAAAAAAGTTTTGGAACTCAAATATCGTATATTTGGGTACCGATTAGAAGTTGATGATCCATTATGATTGAGTTAATACTCAATTTAATCTTAGAGTATAGTAATTTTTCTTGATTTATTTCTAAATTTCTTTTTGTGCTTAATTGAGTCCTTTGACTTAATTCGATGCTTTTACCTAATTGAGTAATCTATTGAGATAAATATATATACACACAGAATAAAACGATTTTCATTAATTTAAAACAGGAAAAAAAAAAAAAAAAAAGGAGACCATCAATGAGAAGACTCAGAGCATAAGGGAATTCACGTCTGATGACGTAGAAATTCCTCCACCGCCGCCGACGTCGGAAACTTTTCCTTTCTCTTCAACTTCGAACATTCCACTCTCACTTTTTTTATTTCGGTAAATTAGATCAAAAATATTCTCTTTATTTCACATATCGCATACAGCAGATTGGGTAAATGGCCTACATAACTCTTCTTTATTTCTTTTTGTATTTTTTTAAAAAACATTTCCCTGTTTTCCCTACCCCTCTCTCCTCCACGCGATCTCAAAATTTGGAAAAAAAAAAAAAACAATCGATTGAAAATGCTCTAAGTGTGTATTTAAAAGTTTTTAATTCAATAATTTAATTTTTATTTTCAAAACGGTAAAATAGTCAATTTATTCTTAATTCTATCTTAGCATTTGAGTTTCGACTGGAATTACCATTTGAGTGACGGTGACAGGTCTCACCATCGTGGAGGAATCAGAGGAGGACGAATCCGTGAGAGGGTTTTGATGGATAGATAGATGGACAGTAACTTACTGCTGACAAGAAGTGAATTTTTCAGAGATAACCATATTATATAATATAATATAATATAAGGTAAGGTGGCCCCAAAATGAGGTGCTGCGGATGAGTCCTTTTGATTTAAAACAGGAAAAACAAGGAAAAAAGAAAGGGGACCATCAGTGAGAAGACTCAGAGCATAAGGGAGTTCACGTCTGATGATGTAGAAACTCCTCCATTGTTGCTGACGCCGGAAACTTTTCTTTTCTCTTCAGCTTTGAACATTCAACCTTCACTTTCTCGATTTCTGCAAAACAGATCAAAAATATTCTCTTTATTACACATATCGCATCCAGCAGATACGTGCCTCGCACGTGCGTAAATGACCTATATAACTCTTCTTTATTTCTTTTTGTATTTTTTTTTAAAAAATTTCCCTGTTTTCCTTACCCCTCTCTCCTGCACGCGATCTCAAAATTTGGGAAAAAAAAAAAAAAAACAATCGATTGAAAATGCTCAAATTGTGTATTTAAAATTTTTTAATTCAATAATTTAATTTTTATTTTCAAAACGGTAAAAGAGTCAATTTATTCTTAATTCTATCTTAGCATTTGAGTTTCGACTGGAATTACCATTTGAGTGACGGTGACAGGTCTCACCACCGTGGAGGAATCAGAGGAGGAGGAATCTGTGAGAGGGTTTTGATGGATAGATAGATGGATAGTAACTTACTGCTGACAAGAAGTGAATTTTTCAGAGATAACCATATTATATAATATAATATAATATAAGGTAAGGTGGCCCCAAAATGAGGTGCTGCGGATGAGTCCTTTTGATTTAAAACAGGAAAAACAAGGAAAAAAGAAAGGGGACCATCAGTGAGAAGACTCAGAGCATAAGGGAGTTCACGTCTGATGATGTAGAAACTCCTCAATTGCTGCTGACGCCGGAAACTTTTCTTTTCTCTTCAGCTTTGAACATTCCACCTTCACTTTCTCGATTTCTGCAAAACAGATCAAAAATATTCTCTTTATTACACATATCGCATCCAATAGATACGTGCACCGCACGTGCGTAAATAGCCTACATAATTCTTCTTTATTTCTTTTTGTATTTTTCTTAAAAAAATTTCCCTATTTCCCCTACCCCTCTCTACTACACGTGATCTCAAAATTTGAAAAAAAAAATGATGGAAAATGCTCTAAGTGTGTATTTAAAAGATTTTAATTCAATAATTTAATTTTTATTTTCAAAACAGTAAAATAGTCAATTTATTTGTAATTCTATCTTAGCATTTGAGTTTCGGCTGGAATTACCATTTGAGTGACCGTGACAGGTCTAACGCCATGGAGGAATCAGTGAGAGGGTTTTGATAGATAGATCATAGATGGATGGACAGTAACTTACTGCTGACAAGAAGTGAATTTTGCAGAGATAACAATATTATATAATATAATATCATATTTGTTTCTCATTTGTAAAACAATTTGCAACTCATACTTTAGTTAGGGAAGCTGTTTCTATGTTTGACTATATCGATTGGGTTATCACCCCTCCAGCCCAAATTGTTAGTCTTGTTATTGACGATATTAAAAATTACGAGATTGATCTATTATATTTAATTTGTTGTTCATTTGTTAAACAATTTGCAACTCATACTTTAGTTAGGGGAGTTGTTTCTATGTTTGACAGTATCGATTGGGTTATCGACCCTCCAGCCTAAATTGTTACTCTTGTTATTGATGATATTAAAAAAAAAAAAAAAAAAAAAAAAAAAAAAAAAACTACGAGATTGAGCTATCATATTTGTTTTTCATTATTTGTTAAAGAAAGGGAACCATCAGTGAGAAGACTCAGAGCATAAGGGAGTTCACGTCTGATGACGTAGAAACTCCTCCATTGCTGCTGACGCCGGAAAATTTTCTTTTCTCTTTAGCTTTGAACATTCCACCTTCACTTTCTCGATTTCTGCAAAACAGATCAAAAATATTTTCTTTATTACACATATCGCATCCAGTAGATACGTGCACCGCACGTGCGTAAATAGCCTACATAATTCTTCTTTATTTCTTTTTGTATTTTTCTTAAAAAAAATTTCCCTATTTCCCCTACCCCTCTCTCCTACACGCGATCTCAAAATTTGAAAAAAAAAATTGATTGAAAATGCTCTAAGTGTGTATTAAAAGTTTTAAATTCAATAATTTAATTTTTATTTTCAAAACAGTAAAATAGTCAATTTATTCGTAATTCTATCTTAGCATTTGAGTTTCGGCTGGAATTACCATTTGAGTGACCGTGACAGGTCTCAACGCCGTGGAGGAATCAGAGGAGGAGGAATCTGTAAGAGGGTTTTGATGGATAGATCATAGATGGATGGACAGTAACTTACTGCTGACAAGAAGTGAATTTTGCAGAGATAACCATATTATATAATATAATATAATATCATATTTGTTTCTTATTTGTAAAACAATTTGCAACTCATACTTTAGTTAGGGGAGCTGTTTCTATGTTTGACAATATCGATTGGATTATCACCCCTCCAGCCTAAATTGTTAGTCTTGTTATTGACGATATTAAAAATTACGAGATTGATCTATTATATTTAATTTGTTGTTCATTTGTTAAACAACTTGCAACTCATACTTTAGTTAGGGGAGTTGTTTCTATGTTTGACAATATCGATTGTGTTATCAACCCTCGAGCCTAAATTGTTAGTCTTTGTTATTGATGATATTAAAAAAACTAAGAGATTGATCTATTATATTTGTTTCTCATTTGTTAAACAATTTGCAAATCATACTTTAGTTAAGGGACTTGTTTCTATGTTTGACAGTATCGATTGGGTTATCAACCCTCCAGCCTAAATTGTTAGGCTTGTTATTGATGATATTAAAACAACTACTAGATTGAGCTATCTTATTTGGTTTTCATTTGTTAACCAATTTGCAACTCATACTTTAGTTATGGGAGTTGTTTCTATGTTTGATAGTATCGATTGGGTTATAACCCCTCTAGCCAAAATTGTTAGTCTTGTTATTGATGATATTAAAAAACGACGAGATTGATCTATCATATTTGTTTCTTATTTGTTAAACAATTTGCAACTCATACTTTTGTTAGGCAGCTGTTTATGTGTTTGACAATGTCAATTGGGTTATCAACCCTCCTGTCAAAATTGTTAGTCTACTGTTAGTCTAGCTTGTTATTGATGATATATATTTATATATATATATATATATATATAAAAAAAAAAAAAAAAAAAAAAAAAAAAAAAAAAACTACAAGATTGATCTATCATATTTGTTTCTCATTTGTTAAACAATTTGCATCTCATACTTTAGTTAGGGGAGCTATTTCTATGTTTGACAGTATCAATTAGGTTATTAACCCTCTAGCCTAAATTGTTAGTCTACTTTTAGTCTTGTTATTGATGATATTAAAAAAATTACGAGATTGATCTATCATATTTGTTTCTCATTTGTTAAACAATTTGCAACTCATACTTTAGTTAGGGGAGCTATTTCTATGTTTGACAGTATCAAAGGTAGTGGGACTATCGACAAGAGTGTAGTTTGAAGAACTTTAAAATTATCAAACTCTAGGACCCAATTAAGTACATAAAAATCATTTAAGACTAAATTGGATATTAACTTGAGCTTGGGTGCAATAGAGTCATCAGGTTCAGGTTCCCCTTCCAAAGTAGCTGAGGGCATCCAAACCAGTGGACTATACACAGTTTTTAAGAAAAAACATGCCATGTTGGCAGAGAGAGACAAGATAGAGAAAGACTTGGGGATCATCTGCAAGTGATAGAGTTATTGCAGCAAAGTGGGTCCCACCTCAAAATAACTCAGCCGCCCAACTTGCCGCATGAGCTTCCGAAGTGCGCCCAGCAGGCGCGTGCTGTGCACACGCTCAGGAGTAATATATATATATATATATATATATATATATATATATATATATATATATGCGGCGGGGTCTTACGGTGCGGCGGTGCGGTCAAATTCCAGAATACACCAACAGTGTTAACAATATGCACCAACAGTGTAATAAAAACACACCCCAATGAAATGTAATAAAACATCACAAAATACACCACAGACTCAAAAAAACACACCATATAACTCACCACCCCCAATGGTGTATTTCCGAATAGTGTATGGTGTTTTTACTGATACAGGGCTCTGTTTACTCTGTTTTGTGTGGTGTATTTCCTAATGTTGATGGTGCATATTTGGTGAACTATTGGTGTTGCCGCACCGTAAGACACTGCCGCACCTGAACCCGCCTATATATATATATATATATATATAGTTCTGTTTTTTTTTTCTCCCTCCATATTCTCTTTCCTAATCACATTTATAAAAAATTTTCAAAAATTACAAAATATCTTCAACTATTATAGATACTCTGATGCATGTTTGGTGACTTGTCAAGGGATCTTTCCTTTTTTTACTTAAGCAGAACAAAAAGTAGGGCATTCACTCGTGTTTCGTTCTGAATTTGCAAATCTTGAATTTGCTTTCGAAGATTAGATATGCAATAACATGTTGCCTAAGTGTCAATTAACTCCTAGATGTTTCAGCATCATCATAGCTGGTACGTTTTCCCCTTCCAAAAAAGTTTTGGAACTCTAATATCGTATATGTGGGTACCGATTAGAAGTTGATGATCCACTATGATTGAGTTAATACTCAATTTAATCTTAGAGCACTGCTGGAAATCGCCAATTTTTCGACCACCAAAAAGTGAATGGGCAAAATACGGTCGGAACCCCTTGTTCCGACCACTTTTCCAACCACTTGGGGATTCGGAAAAACCTTCGTCGGTAATTCCGATCACCAGATGAAGTGGTCGGAAATAGCGTCCACTTTTGTAAAGTGGTCGGAAAGAATCAACCACCAATTCTGATGGTGGATTTCGGATATTCCGACCAAAATTCCAACCATATGTGGTCGCAAATTCCCACCCTATGTAAAGCTGTAATATTAGCAGTTTCCGACCACATTTGGTGGTTCGGAAAATAATTATGCGAAAATAAAAAAAATAATTGCACCGTAAAATTAATTTAAAATACAAATTATCCACTTGCAAGTAGCAATTGTAACACAAGTAGTAGTAGTTTCATAACAATACAAGTTTACGATGCTAATCGGAATAAACAACACCGAACCATACATTTAATACAATTTACATGCAATCTGTGGCACTAATGTCTAATTAGTCACAACTCACCAGCATCATACTTTGTAAACTACATTGCCTTGACACTGCAAAAAAAAAAAAGTAGAGTAAATCAGTAAATAGATTGAGAATTTGAGAGCCAGGACCAGAAGTACTATGGTTAGCATTTAGCAATCACATAGAAAGTAATAGAAGAACAAGGTAAATGAAACAACCTATTTGGACTAGCAAGCAACCTAAAGTGGAAACCTTTGCCTATTTCATTTCTGCCTAGGCAAAGTTTTACAACCGTGCTAGACATACTGCTTTTACATATATTCTAAGTGCATCCCCTTTTGTGAGATGTTTTTGAGATCATAGAAAGTAAAAACACACACACACACAATAACAACAAAAATAAAAGTAGAATAGAATTAATAGAGTTAATTACCTTATAACTATAAGGAGTGCAGGAACTTTCAGAATCTGAACTCTTATTATATTATGAAATCTATATCTTGTCCCCAGTAAGATTGCAGTCACAGTTAACAAATAATCATATTTATGATGGTAGCTATAAATAGTATTTAGAATTGAATTGAACTGAATTGAATACCTGCTGGAAGAAGTGACATGCCTCATCCTCATGGATCCTGCCTTTTTGTGTGATATAATCAAAAAGTTCGCCACACTTCATGTATTCCATAACAACATAGATGCGTGATTCGGTCTCTTTGATTTCATACAAGCAAACTATATGATGATGTACTAGCAGCCTCACTACCGCTTCACTGTCAAGAGAAGACAACAAATTCAGAGAAGATAACAAGTGTGATAACTTCACAACAGAGGAACTTTTTAACAATAATGTATAGATTGCTCAACTTCATCACTTGTTTTCCTTTCTCTAATTCTCTCCACAGAAAACTTCACACAAAAAAGTGCATTTCAAGGCACCAAATTAGAGTAATACTAAAATACCTTTTGCTGCAACTGAATCGTTAACTGCCGATCCAAGATCTTAATTGCAACTTTAAAGTCCAGTCAGGATATGAGTAGCAAATTTAACCTTCCCAAATCCCCCAACACCAAGAGTTTTGCCAACAATGTAGTTTGATAAGGTATTTATGCTAGAACTGCTTCTGCTAGACTTTCTTGTATCCATCTACCAACTGCAAGCATGAAATTCCCATACTTTATTCATATACACAATGGAAAACATACCAATAGCAAATCAAGTTAGCATCTTTCTGCTACATAACAAAAACAATTGCCAAAACAGAGAAGAAGAAACACACAAACAGACACAGTACCAACAACATCATAAAGAATCAATAGTAAATAGACTGTAAGGTAATGATTTAAAATAGTAAAAATTGCAATAATCACAGTGCAGTGATGGCAGCTATGTCAAATTGGTTTCAGTAAACAAGCAGAACTTGTGGAAGTTGATTTTCTCATCAAACACAAGAATGAGATGCAAAGTAATTACTCAAGGTAGTTAATGAATTTAAATGTTATGTGTGGAAAATTAGTAACGTTTGAGTGTTTATATATTCCATGGAAAACCATTAACCATATTTGCTTGTTTACTAAAAAAGAGAAGCAAAGGTATTCTATGTCAAGCAAACTCTCATATTTTCTTTCTCTTCCCGTCTTGGTAGACACCAAGGGACTAATCAAGTGCAAATCATTCCTTTAGTATAAACTACAAACACATCTTAACTGGTAAAGTAAAATTCACTCCAGAAAAGTAAATACAAAAAAAAAAAATGTATGTATCAATACAAGTAGAAAGTCATACATACTGTATACTGTTTTCTGGATACACTATCGTAGATAACCTGCTTACCTGCCTGAATGCCTAATAGATCTAAAAGAAGCCACTTTCCCCAATTCGAAGTGAAGGCCAAGCTCGAATCAGTTCCGGAGATTCGCTCATGTATACCTCGCTGAATATAGTAATAACAATAAATTAGAAATAAAGAACCCTAAGTCCCTGAACTCTAACAAAAGATAAGAAACTAACAAAGGCATAATAGAGGTTACCTTAGAAACGATCAATGCAGCGAGTTTTCTTTCATTGCATTCCGCATCCTCATACAAACTTTCTCGGCAGAACAATATGCCAACGAGTGTTTGAGACAGCGGAGATGAGCGGGGAAAAGGTTTATTTCACAGCTACGTCGTTGATGGGGGAGAAGGTTCGCAGCTGCGTAGTCGATTGAGGAGAAGAGGTAGGTAGGAGAAGGCGATCGAGGGCTTCATCTTCGTAGACGATCTAGGGCTTCAGCGGCGCAAAGGTGTCGGACTATCGGGTTGAGTTGGGTTAAGAAAATATTAAATATATACATTGTATATATAATAGATATTTATATATTAGTTTGGATAATAACTAAAATAGGTATGTATTAAACATTGTATATATAATAGATATTTATATATTTATATATTAGTTTGGATAATATATACACTATCGTAGATAACCTGCTTACCTCGCAAACATAAAAAATAAATGATGCAATGTCAGTTATTAAAAATTGATGTTGTATATATTTTTTAAAAGAAAATATTGTAAATAAACATAGGACGTTGAGTTTTTGCACAAACCCGACGTCGTCTGTCAATTTTGAAAATTTTAAAAATATATACAACATCGGTTCGTGGAATACTATTAGACACCGAATTCTATGATAATACTGTTAGAAACATTTTGTTCACGAAATTCTGTTAGATATAGAATTTTGTGATAAAAATAATAGAGAGTACAATATGCAATGATATGTAATATATTATGTTGGATTATGAAACTCAATAGAACTAAGACTGTAGAGTCCTAACAAGAATAGATGTTTTAGGCTCTGTTTGGCAAACCTAGCTGAAAAGCTATAAGCTTAAAATTGAAAACTGAAGAGCTGTTATGATTGAAAGTGTTTGGTAAATTAGCTTTTTGATAAGCTGATAAATGTAAAAAGACTAAAAAGGACATCTTCATAAAATTTAAATTAGTTTATTTACATATTAAAATTTAACATTTTGTCTTTAAAAAAATTAACATTTTGAAATAAAACTATTAGCATAATTATGATCTAGCATCTCATGATCTCATAATGAAGTAGCAATATTGTTGCAAATCTCATAATAATAATAATAATAATAATAATAATAATAATAATAATAATAATAATTGCCGTGAAAGATGCAAATAAAGGAGAAGAGAAAAGGGTTTTAATTGGAAAGGGTAAATTATGTCATTTCTTTTTAAAAATATGGATAAATATGGAAAAAAAGTTAGGAAACTAGGATCTTATTTTGAAACGCTACTTAATATAGCGTTCCAAAATAAGCTCTTATTTTAAGCTAAGAGTTTATTTTGGTAACATTACTAAACAAAGCTTATAGCTTATTAATAGCTGAAAATAAGCTATAAGTTCCTAAATAAGCTCTGCCAAATAGAGCCTTAAAAGAGTTAGAGTTAGAAAATGATTTCATCTATCTACATGGAAAGGACGACACATTTTTATTTTTCATAGCAAGAATAATGAGATGGTATCTAGTAGTAAATTCTATGCGTCGTGGTCCGTTAAAGTAAAAAAAACAAGTATGAGTAAAATAATCAATATTGAAAAGATAAATCATGTGGCTTTCATACCATTGAACCACAAAAAAAAAAAACAAAAAAAAACAAAAACAAAAACAAAAAAAATTCCGACCACATTTCAAGGATCGTCGGAATACCGACCACTTTGGTGGTCGGAAATAAAGTTAGTTCAAAAATTTAATCTGCCCAAAGAATATTCTGACCATCTTTACTTGGTAGTCGGAATTTCCGACCACTTTTACTAAATGATCGGAAATTCCGACCACCGTATCCCTCCGGCGTAAAAATGGGAAAAAATCACTTTTTGCGACCAAATTTTCGGGTGGTCGGAAATGAGGTCGGAAAAATGCTAATTTCCAGCAGTGGAGTATAGTGATTTTTCTTGATTTATTTCTAAACGTCTTTTTGTGCTTAATTGGGTCCTTTGACTTAATTCGATGCTTTTACCTAATTGAGTAATCTATTAAGATAAACATATATACACACAGAATAAAACAATTTTCATCAATTTAAAACAGGAAAAAAGAAAGGGGACCATAAGTGAAAAGACTCAAAGCATAAGGGAGTTCACGTCTGGTGACGTAGAAACTCCTCCACCGCCGCCGACGCCGAAAACTTTTCCTTTCTCTTCAGCTTCGAACATTCCATCCTCACTTTCTCGATTTTTGCAAAACAGATCAAAAATATTTTCTTTATTTCACATATCGCATCCAGTAGATACGTGCACCGCACGTGCGTAAATGGTCTACATAACTCTTCTTTATTTCTTTTTGTATTTTTTTTTTAAAAAAATCCATGTTTCTCCTACCCCTCTATCCTACACGCGATCTCAAAATTTGGGGAAAAAATAAAATTGATTGAAAATGCTCTAAGTGTGTATTTAAAAGTTTTTAATTCAATAATTTAATTTTTATTTTCAAAACAATAAAATACTCAATTTTTTCTTAATTCTATCTTAGCATTTGAGTTTCGGCTGGAATTACCATTTGAATGACGGTGACAGGTCTCACCGCCGTGGAGGAATCAGAGGAGGAGGAATCTGTGAGAGGGTTTTGATGGATAGATGGATGGAAGTAACTTACTACTGACAAGAAGTGAATTTTGCAGAGATAACCATATAATATAATATAATATAATATAAGCTAAGGTGGCCGCAAAATGAGGTGCTGCCGATGAGTCCTTTTGATCTATATATATTTGACAATACTCCATAGGCCTTAGGAGTTTACTAGCTGCAGATGTTGTAGGGGTCTTTTGACATAGATTTTTATATTATGAAATTTATTTAATTTTTTTTTCATAATGAACTCTAGTTCAAATAGTACCTTTCTTCACAATTTTTTTAAACCAAATAATTTAATAATATTTTTATTTAATTCCTTAGCTTCTCTATTCTATTCTCTAAAAATTATTGCTTTCATTTTTTTTTCTGTTTTAACTTTATCCTTTAAACCAAATGGACAGATAGAGAATTTATCCAGAATGTTACATTTAGAATGTATAGTAGTTGGAACCTCTGATGTACAATTATTTTCATTTTCTCCCCCTTCAACCTGGATTGCTCTCACCACTTGGGGGTACAAGGGGCTTCCCCAGTAAGATTTCTTTGAGGGCATATCTGAACCAATATCTAACACACCCCATTTTCCCTCATTTTGATTGCACTACTTTTGTTTAGGTCTATTTCAAAATAATAGAAACTTTTCTAATTTATATTGATTTCTACATGTTGAGAGTGATGCTTTTCAGGTTATTCACAATCTTGGATTTCTTTTTAATCTACTATTAGTCTTGTTATTGATGATAATTGATATTAAAAAAAAAAAAAAAAAAAACTACGAGGTTGATCTATTATTTTTGCTTCTCATTTGTTAAACAATTTACAACCCATACTTTAGTTAGGGTAGTTGTTTCTATGTTTGACAGTATGGGTTATCACCCCTCCAGCTTAAATTGTTAGTCTACTGTATGTTAATCATGTAATTGATGATATTAAAAAAAATACTACGAGATTGATCTATAATATTTGTTTCTCATTTGTTAAACAATTTGCAACTCATATTTTAGTTAGGGTAGTTGTTTCTATGTTTGACAGTATCGATTGGGTTATCACCCCTCCAGCCTAAATTGTTAGTCTACTGTACGTTAATCTTGTTATTGATGATATTATTAAAAAAAAAATAAATTACGAGCTAGATTGATCTATCATATTTGTTTCTCATTTGTTAAACAACTAGTTTTTTACGCGCATTGCGTGATTGGGATAATGCCCAATGTTTATAATTAAATAAATATTTGAAAGTATATCAATGTAAGATTATATATGAGAAGTTTATACATAAGTAATTTAATGTCGAATTTATTTATTTAAATCATTAACTCATAGTATATGAATACAATGTAATATAGGATATTCATTATAATTGTTACTAAACTTTTTTTTTAAATAGTTACCAAGTATTTTTGTTGCAAAGGGTTCAAATATATTTAATGAATGCACATATATACAATATCAATCAATGAATCCTATATTATTATTATTATTATTATTATTATTATTATTATTATTATTAGGTCATCTTACATGCTAATCTAAACAGTTAATTTTTTCAAATATATTTTACTATATTAGTATTTAATTTAATAAGAGTAAAATAAAGTAATAATTATGCCAACTTTGATTTTGATGGGGTTCGAACCTAAGACCTTTCTTATTGAAATCAATGAGTAAGTTAACGGTGAACTAACACAAATTAACGGAAAATATAATATTTAACGGAAAATCATAAAATTAAGGATAATTTAGGAAATCTCAATGAAAAATTAAAATCAGATCAATCTGAGTCATTCATTTGATTAAAAAATTTGACCGTCATTTTTTCTACCCATTATAGGCCTAACTCTCTTGGGCTCTTATTAGTATAGTAGATTTGCAACTCATACTTTAGTTAGGGGAGTTGTTTCTATGTTTGATAGTATCGATTGGGTTATCAACCCTCCAACCTAAATTGTTAGTCTTGTTATTGATGATATTAAAAAAAACAAAGAGATTGATCTATTATATTTTTTTCTCATTTGTTAAACAATTTGCAACTCATATTTTAGTTATTAGGGGAGTTGTTTCTATGTTTGACAGTATCGATTGGGTTATCAACCCTCCAGCCTAAATTGTTAGTCTTGTGATTAATGATATTTAAAAAAAAAAAAAAATCTAAGAGATTGATCTATTATATTTGTTTCTCATTTGTTAAACAATTTGCAACTCATATTTTAGTTAGGGGAGTTGTTTCTATGTTTGACAGTATCGATTGGGTTATCAACCCTCCAGCCTAAAGAGTTACTCTTGTTATTGATGATATTAAAAAAAAAAAACTACGAGATTGAGCTATCATATTTGTTTTTTCATTATTTGTTAAAGAAAGGGGACCATCAGTGAGAAGACTCAAAGCATAAGGGAGTTCACGTCTAATGACGTAGAAACTCCTCCACCGCCGCCGACGCCAGAAACTTTTCCTTTCTCTTCAACTTCGAACATTCCACTCTCACTTTCTCGATTTCTGCAAAATAGATCAAAAATATTCTCTTTATTTCACATATCACATCTAGTAGATACATGCACCGCACGTGCGTAAATGGCCTACATAACTCTTCTTTATTTCTTTTTGTATTTCTTTTTTAATTTTTTCCCTGTTTCCCCTACCCCTCTCTCC